ACCGTTTTTGCAGGCTTTGTTCAACCCATAGAAATCTACAGGGTGGTCGAGTGTACCAATTTAATCGAAATTAAACGACCTCATGCATTTATTTTTATGATATTTAGTATGTTATAAAAATATCCCTAGACTTTTCCGATGTGTGTATATTTCAATATTATTTGTAAGTAGTATTGTTCTGATAGAAATAATTTATGAGGCTAAACAACGTTTGCCAAATCATCTCATCAAATAAAATAATTCTTTGTTTGTTTATTTTGATTTTTCGTGGGTACATTACACGTTTGACAAATTTGAAGAGAAAAACTACGGTCAATATTCCGAAAAAATACAGATTTTCTAAATATTTACCTGGAAGCATTTGGACCTTTGAGTTGCACCTCACCATCAGATTTTCTAACATTAGTATGGTCAGGATTGAAACGCCTATTTTCTATCGCGTCCAGTTTCGCTTTGAGTTGTTCCAAAGAAGTCTGAATATTTTTGAGCATTTCCTCTTCTTTGGATTTTTTATTGAAAGTAAAACATAATAATTTGAATAGACCACCAAAAGAGAATTCGATAGACCCTGCATTATCAGCATTGTTACCAAAGAATGAGTAAACTTGATCCTTCTTTTTTTCAGCTTCTTTCTTCTTCTTCTCTTCCTCCTTCTTCTTCTCCTCGTCCGTCTTGTCGGTCTTGTCCTTGAGAAAAAGAGCAATGAGCGATGGAATAATAAATAGAATAATTTATCTATTTAAAAAACTGAAAGTTTTAACTTTGTGACAGACTATTTTCCTTTTGAGAGGCAGATTCAAAGTTCGTTGCATATTGCATACTCGTATAACCCAATATTAAGTGATGAATGGAACAAAGAGAATCGCATAGGATGTCTTTTGCGAAATATCGAAAGTCGATGAGGGTTTCTGCTGTAAAATCAGGAAAAACATCTTTACAATAAGAATATTCCACTCGAATGTTTTTTTACATCACGTAACGTTTTTATTGGAGAATAATTCAATTTTTTCTAGTACTTATTTGATGACAGAAAAATAATAATTAATAATTTCTTTATTTAGCATAAGCTGATATACAATATGTTTGATCCTTACTATCATTAGGCTAATGTCAAAATGCTCAAACAATGAATTACAAATATATACATATACAGAGTGATTCAAAAATACTTTGACAAACTTCAGGAGGTGATTCCTCACAATATTCTAATATGAACTGTCCAACTGAATAAATGTCCGGAAACGCTTCGTTTCCAAGATACAGGATGTTGAAGTTTTATTTTTATTTTCGTTTTTTTCAAATCACTTTTGAAATACTGAACTTAATTAAACGAAACTTGGTAATAGGAGGTTTTTGAGGTGTCGAATTCGAACCTGATGTTCTTATTGCTCTTACTCGTAGGGGGCGCCACCTACACGTCTTTTTCTTTTTTAAAGATTCATAAC